ACTAATGAAAATTTTGAATTATTAGTAATTTAAAACAGCAATACCACACCAGACCTATCCGCAAGATGTGGAGCCCTGAACACGACACCTCATACTAGGAGATAGATAATACTAGTATACGTGAACCGAAATTCACTCAAAAGGAATAACTTTTGTTGAGTCATGAGGCCAAACAAATTTAAACATGTATCCATTTAACTTTTTTCTTCCATCATGTATGTCTATATTTCATCTTGGCAGACCAAGCCACACTTGATCTAAGGGGTAGGGGGACGCTTTAAAATATCAAACTATTCCCGCAAATTTGAATGTAGATGTTGAGCTTATACATGCGTACATAAAAATTAAAGCTTTACTTATGTACTTCCTTTTCTTGTCATAATATACGTACAGGGTATAATCATGGAGAAAATCCGAGCATCCTACTTATCCAAAGGAAAGAAGAAATTCATATACCTTGGCGATGGAAAAGGAGACTACTGCCCATGTCTTAAGCTTAGTGAAGAAGACTATGTGATGCCGAGAAAGAACTTTCCCTTATATGATCTCATTTGTGCCGATACAAAGGCATTGAGAGCTGAAGTACATGAATGGAGCAACGCTGAAGATCAAGAAAAAGTACTACTTAAGCTAATACAAAAGCTGAGGTCCATTGATCATGAAGAAGAAACCAACCAGGTTTTTTCGATGGATTGCAAGTTTCATATTATTCCAGTATCTGGTCATGAGATTCTTCCTCAGGCTCTCCCAGTGCCTCATTAGATTGGGTGTATAAGATTGATACTGAAATGTATTGGGACTAAGAGCCATATTAACTTGGTCCCTTGATTTATCTATTTGGCTCTCTCTTTGGGAATATATAAAATAAGCTGATTTTATCATTTAAATGGTTGTTTGATGATTTTACAAGAAACGTGTCGGTTCATAGATAACGACTGAACTGTTAGTTTCATCTAGCGTGCGGATAAAAATTCCTTTGGCGTGCCAAACATTGAACTCTGTTTAGATTACAGTCTGGTAAAGTACGGTAAATTACATTTTATGTTGTACTAAATTATCAAATTGGTACAAAAGTAATACTTTCTACCAACAAGCTATAAAAATAGTGCAGCTGACAACAAAAGTGGCGGATCCACCTTGACCAAAGTGGATCACATGACCCCACTTCAGTCGAGGATCAAGAACCACTTAGCATTTGGGAATTTCTTAAGTAACTCTCTTTAACTTTTAAAATGTCAAAAAAAACCCTTGCATTTTGCGGTTCTCAAAAAACCCCTGTAAAAGAGAGAGAGAGTCTTGGGATAAATTTCCCTTAGTTTTTGTATTGAATGTGTACACACATATATATACAAGTAGAGGAGGGTGAGGTGTGCTCTCATAACCAATGTGGGATTAAACCTAATATCAACAGCTCCCCTCAAACTCATGTTGGATCAAACAAAGTGAGTTTGCGTACAAGAAACCGGAATCGATGAACAGGTAACGTCTTCGTGAAGAAATCTGCAAGCTCATCGGCGGATGAGACATAAGGAAGTTGAATTGTCTTGTCCTTGATAAATTGTTGACGAAAAAAATGAGCGTCGATCTTAATGTGTTTGGCCCTCTCATAAAATACTGGATTATTGGCAATCTGGATAGCACTCTTATTATCACAGTAGAGAGGAGTACGAGTCGAAATAGAAATACCAAAATCATTGAGAAGACGACGAAGATGAATAATCTTTTTAGCTGTTGTGGACATTGAACGATACTCTACCTCGGTGATGGAAAGGGCAATAACATATTGTTTGTTACTCGGCCAAGAAATAAGGGAATCACCAAGAAATATACAACTTGTGATAGACTTTCTGGTAGTTGGATCACCATCCCAATTAGTATCAGAATATGAACGAAGCTCTAAAATCGGATGTAGCAGGATACAGAAGAGAGCGAGTAATAGTGTCCTAGAGATACCAAAGAATCTATAATAAGGCAGCATAGTGTACAGAACGTCGGGCATCAGCAAATAGACTAAAAATTCCAACAGCATGAGAGATATCTAGTCGAGAGATACACAAATAGACCAACTGACTAACAAGATGTCGGTATCAGGTAGGATCTGATAGAGACTCACCATCAGTAGAGTAAAGTTTGACATTTTGTTAAAGTGGAGTATCGACAGTTGCACCGTTAGTTAGCTCAGCATGAGCTACAATATCCGAGAGATACTTCTGTTGAGACAGTAGTACTCCCCACAGGCCCTGAGAACTTTCTAGACTAAGAAAATAGCGAATAGATCCAAGATCCTTCATGTGGAACTGTTGTTGCAATTTAGATTTTGTATATTGTATACCAGTAACATCATCACTTGTAATGATCATATCATCTACATAAAGGAGTAATAAAACTCTGTCGCGTGATGTAGTATGAACAAACAGAGAAGCATCTTGATAACTTTCCATAAAACCCGCCTTGAACACGACATCGCAAAAACATTCAAACCAAGCGTGGAGTGCCTGCTTGAGACCATAAACAGCACGGCGAAGGAGACATGCATGTTCTGGAGGAATATTGTACCCTGGAGACGGTTGCATATACATTGTCTCAGATAAAAAGCCATAGAGAAAAGCATTCTTGACATCCATCTGATATACGGGCCAACGATGAACAGCAATAACTGCAAGGAGAGTATGAATGGTGGTCATCTGAGCAACAGGAGCAAAAATCTCATCATAATCAATACCATGTTGCTGAGTAAAACCTCGAGCCACTAAACAAGCCTTCTGACGTTCAATATTGGTGCCATCAAGATGATACTTAACCTTATAAACCTATTTACTACCAATTGGGGAGACGCCAGAAGGACAATGAACAACATCTATGTGTGTGTTTGCTGAAAGGCCTAAAATTTCTCAGCCATAGTCTGTCGCCACTCTGAAAATTGAACTGCCTCTTGAAAGGACTTTGGCTCAATGGTAGTAAGAATGACAGTAAGAAAACTATGAAAGATTGTTGAATAGGAAGTAACTAAAGCATACCGTTTAGGAATAACATATGGTCGTTTGCCTCGACGAAGAGCAAGAGGAACCTTAGGTGGGAGAGATGCTGGCGCAGGTGCGCGGAGGTCAGTAGTATGTTCTGTAGTGGGCACCGTGTCTGAGGGAGAGGGAGCTACGGGAGCAGATGGTGTATGAGAAGGCTCGGGTGAGGGAGATTTAACAGATGGAGATGTAGTGATGTTAAGAAGATCTCAAAAGAAGAACAGAGTTAAGGAAGTGGGTGGTGCAGCTAGCGGTGAAAAACGGTTAGTAGTGTGGAGGAAATTATAGTTATCAGAACCAGAGTAATATGGAGAATCCTCTTCGAACTAAACGTGTCTAGATATATGAACCTGACGAGATGCAGGATCATAACAACGATAATCTCAATGTTCTGGACTAATTCCAAATAAATATAGGGAATAGCTCTGGGAGACAATTTATCATGTTCGTGAGATGGTAGAAAAATAAAACATCGACAACAAAAGACGCGAGCCAGATCATAGCGAGGAGTGTGAGTATATACGCGATTATGAGGAGTAACACCAGAAAGAGATCTAGATGGAGTGATATTAATGATGTGAATAGTGGTGATAATAGCCTCAACCCAAAGATGACAAGGAACAGAGTAAGAAATGAGCATGAATCAAGCGGTATTGAGGATATGACGATGTTGGCATTCAGCAATACCATTGTTCTCATGAGTGTAGGGGACTGTTGAAAATAGTCCCATGAAAGGTCATGAAATAGCGCATGGTAGAGGATAAATATTCGCACAATCAGATCGAAAAAATTTAATACGAGCTTTTCATTGAGTGAAGATCATAGCAGTGAAGGCTTGATATGCAGTAGGTTACCTCAGAGTGATTTTTAAGTAAATAGACCTATGTATAATGAGAGAAATCATTAATAAAACTAACATAATATAAATAGTCAGATGAAGAAGGTAGAGGAGTTGGCCCCCAAATATCAGGATGGACTAAATCGAATAAGAAGGTTGAGACATATGTACTGGTTGGAAAAGGTAGAGCAGTAAATTTAGCCAATTTACAACCAGTATATGATTCGATACAATAATTAGATGACATAGAACCAAGTACTCCGGACTGGATAAGACTCTCTAGTCTTTTATTAGATATATGACCAAGTCGTCTATGCTACAAATTGGTGGGAAGTGAGATAAAAGATTTTGATGGACAAATAGAAGCAATAAGAGAATATGGACGTATGGGCTCTGGAAGGTGAAGATATTCTAGAAAATATAGTTTGTGCCTCCTATGACCAGCCCCAACAGTCTTGGCTGACTGTGGATCCTATACAAGACAAGTATCATAAGAAAATGAGACAAGTAGGTCAATCATACACAAAGAACTAATAGAAATTAAATTCAAGCATAACTGAGGAGCCACATAGACAGGACCAAGTGTTAGACAACCAGATGGGTCATTTTGTGGGGGTGATAGAGCCATACTGAGTGATAAACAATGGTTGTCCAACAGCCGTGTAGATAGTGGAAAGAGAAGATGAAGTGAAGATAGAGGATAAGAGTGAGGTATTACGAGTCATATGAAAGGAATAGCCAGAGTCAAAAATCTAGAGATCATTCATACTAGAGCCTTGTTCAGTCGATGAGCCAACAAAGCAAGATAGTGATGTAGAGATGGTATGCTAAAGAGCATCAAGTTGTCAGAGAAGATTTTCAATAGATTGAATAGTAGTGTCAGAAGTGGTAGATGGTATAGCATTGGCCAGCAATCTTGGTGCGTAAGAGGGTTAAGACTGAGGGGGTCGCCAACCACGACCAGTACCTGGGGAACATAACTCAGGATGAAGCTTGAAACATTTCTCAATGCGGTATCCCTCCTTCTTGCAATATGTGCATAAGAGCTTAGATCGAACCTGTTGAGAAGTATGCTTCATAATAAGAGCAGTAACTGGTACAGATAGAATAGTCTCGAGTGAAGAGGCAGGAGCATTTGATGTCAAATTGAGTCGTGTGGTCTAATGTCATGTCTTATAAGCAGTGAGAGCTCCCATAACTGAGGCCAAAATCGGAAGTGAGGCTGATGAAGTAGTTAGTCAGCCATAGTTGAATATTCAGGAAGGGATTAAAATAGTTGATGCATCTTGCGCTGTTCATACTAGACTAGCCAGTCTTCGTATGTAGAATCACGTCCAGAAAGCATGAAGCATAATTATGTCCAATAGGCTTGCATTTGACCAAAATAAGACTACAGAGAGGAACTACATTTACGTTGTATAGCAACGCATTACAGAAGATATGCCTCCCATGCACCAAAGCACTCTGTGAAGCGCTTAGTGAGACGACTCCACATGGCACGAGCAGAGAGAAGCGAACCAATCTTGATAGTGAAACCAAAGCTAACACAACGAGTGAGATTATCCATGATAAGAATGTGGCGCCCCTGTTTTCACACATGACTATAGTCTAAGGTGAACCCAGAGATGTCAAACCTACCATGCACCCACACTGTGCAATAACACGTTTCACCAATCACAATAATATCCTCTAGTGGAATTAAATGAAGTGTAGGTAGAAAACAGGTAGAATAAAGAAATAAATATAATAGACATGATATAGAAAGAGATATATTATAAATAAAATCATGTCTTAACTGTAATACATCTAATATCTAAAAGAATAAAAATATCTCAACATGAATCAACTAAAAATCGTACTACGGCACACTGCCTTTACGATATGAAATAAAGCTCTAAAGTCTGAATGAAATCATAAAAATCTACTGTAGATCTTCTACAAATAACTCATATGACGACGACTATGTAAGAAATCCGTCATTCTGCGGCTCTCTGAACCTCTGTATTTCCTAAAAGAAGAGAAAACAATA